GATCCACCTGTTCCAGTTTATATTTAAACTGCTTGGTCCCAGCCATTAGTCCCAGAATATTTGAGCTGTAGTTGAAAGTTCTCTAGGGTACCCAGTGTGTTTATTCTGATTGCCTGGTCTTGATTAGTTTTTGCTCCTGGACTTCTGAGTTTTCCTGTCCCTTTTCTGATCTGTTTGCCTTACCTGTCTTCGGACTTCCATTCGATTCTGCCTACAAATGACCATGGATCTGTATCCTGACCCCGGCTTGGATTTCCGTACGGTACCTCTTCGGATCTCTAATCTTCTGGCCTGGAGTTCTGCTTCCTAATCGACACCGGCTTTTGATTTTCCTCCTGGATACTTCTGCTCTTCCTTGTCAGCTGGCTTCTGGACTTCAGCTGGCTCTGCAGCACCTTTGATTTCCACTCCTGGAACTCTCTGGGCTGCTTCCGCTGCATGCTGTGGAAAATCATCTGGCTGGATTTCACTCCTAACTCTGGGTTCGGAATGAACTTCATAACCAGGTTAGTGACTTGCATGCTTGCTATCACTCCCCATCAGAGTTACATGGTCACTAATCTTTTGTTTCTCCCTCTACACAGATCCTATCAATCTAGTTCTATCCAACGAGATGCAGATCTCCGAGCAACCAATAAACTCTTTTTTATAAATCACTTCAGTCTGTCTGCCTAAATTTTGAGTCCAACGTTCTGAGTCCTGCCACATTTAGGAACAATTCTGATGAAAACTGCTATTTGTACCTCTATCTTATTATTATTATTATTATTTTTTTTTTTAATCTAAGGGATCATTTTAATAGGTCTATTCATTTTTTATTACTGGTTTAATATGTTTTGGTTTTATTAGGCTCTTCTTTGCTTTGCTTTTTGGAGGACTAGAAAATTTTGAAATTAACTGTCAGTAAAATGAATTAAGTCATTACACAAATATTTTAAACATTTTTTTTTTTTGAGGAACGGTCAAGGTAAAGGGCTGTCCATCATCGTATCACTGCTTTCCCACGCTACTTTTCCATAGAATAGCAACACTAACATACTATGACTATATGGTAACAGTTCAGCCTATAACGAGAGGGAGACAGTGGCCAGACTGCTAACCCAGAGAGAGAGCAGCATATAAATATATATACAGTCCAGTATATACAAATGTATACATCTCTCTCTCTCTCTAAGTAATATGAAGGATTCAGACTCTTGCCACAAAAGGAACTATTATAAATCGTTGTAGTTGTGACAGCATAAGGTACATTTTCTTTCCAGATGGCATGTGGTTGTGAAACATAAGACCATGTCATATAGAGCATGGATCAGTGAATTTTACAGCCTAATACATCTACCTCTGTTGTAGCCATCCATGCCTTTAACTGCTCAGTCAGGTGTTTTACAATCACTGCTAACCCCTTTCATCAATTGTATCTCCTTCTCCCCTTCCCTAGGAAATTAAAATACACAGCAGCCTGCAAGAAAACCATAACAGACTTCGGATAACAAGGTGACACCTTATTGATCCCTGTCAGAAAAATGTCTTCTAATCGGAGATAAGATGTTAAGGGTCACACAGATAGCAGTAAAAGAAGAACTGCAAGCTTTGATGGAAGAGACCTGAGCAAAGGGCACATATTTTATACATCTCCCAGTTCATAAACTTGAGTTGTCAGGGATTACTTTTCATGTACAACAGTTAATAACTGGGTCACTGAAGGTGTACTTAGCAATTCAGTAAAAGTAATTAATGTAGTGCATCATGCCTGGAAAATATTATAGGAACTGACCTCACTGTTTTCTTTTAAACTTTCTGGCTTTTCTCCTCTTTTGACATTTTTGCATACAACATAGGGAAAGATAAAGTTTTTTTTTTTTCAGGAAATATCAACTGACCTGTATTTCCTTAGACATTGCAATTTGAAACAAGAAAAAAAGAAGTCCTGCGAATTTAAAGAAATTCTTACACTTTTATCCATATTTTTTGTACCGCAAAAATAACAGACTTTCTGTTCACTTGCCTCATTTTTTTTCATTTTGGGTCCAGTATGTGTCTGATAACAGAATTATTTGATCTCAATCTTCAAAGATGTAAAGGCTGGATTGTTTGTTTTTGGCTTCTTTTTTGTCAATGGACTCCCACTCAGATAACATTCATCTGCTTTCTATAGGCCTGGCATATATTTTGCACTAAATGTTATGCACATTTAAACCATTCTTCACTAAAGCCTAATTTAATGAATCATTGTTCAGTATGAACCATTTTTAAGTTAATACTATTTGCCTGTTTTAATTCTTATGAAATTGTTCAAACTGAGACAGCAACTACCAAATCCTGTCACAGATTCTATGGATCCCATTGGTGAAACTGTAGTTTTCTCTTAGCAATTAGTAATTTTCTACTTTTCAATTTACCATAAAGCCCACATTTGAAACATAGTAGTTGTCTGGTCTAGAGAATTTCCACCTGCACTGGAGATCCATGCAGCTCCTTCAAAAAAAAAAAAACAACAAAAAAAAATAACATAACCAAAAGGGGTTTATAGGGAAATTAAGCTGCATGTTGACTAGGGCTGCGACTAATGATTATGTGCAAACTAATTAATCTATAGATTATTTTCTCAACTAAGCACTTACCGGTAACTCCGATAGAAAATGATTCCTTAAAGAATATTTTAAACAGAATTAGATAAAACTAAAACTTCCACTTGAGAAATTCAAGATAGAGCTTTCTCTATTGATTAAATGAAAACTAAATTATGTATATATATATATATATATAGATATTTTTTTTTGTAATAATTACGGCTCTAAGTGGGTTGCTCTGTCAGCTAAAGGTATATTTTAGGTTCGCAATACTCAAGTTATTAATTAATCAATTCCTAAATTAGTTGCAGAGTATTTCAATAATCAATTAATCACAATTAATCCATTAATAATCTCAGCCATATTGTGGTCCCTATCTTGGTAAGTTTCATGTTGAAAATGAGCCCTTAACATTGTTTTAAAAGCCTTTGTGCTCTAAACTTCACTGCAACATTATTCCACACCATAGTCTTTATAATCCTGTTTCCTCCCAGATGTTTTCTGACACTTAACTTAGACCTTCACAGAACAGTTGGGTTCACCTAAAGATGAATTTCCATACAGGTTCTTTCTGTTTACTGTCTGGGGAACATGTAAAGGCAATCAGTTACACTGATTTGCATTTAGGGGTGTCAGAGTATTGGGATGATAAAACACATGTGCAACCCTAGTAAGATTTTTTTTTATTTTCTAAGAGTAAAACGTTTTCCTTACAGCTACAGTATTGCTTTTGATTTGTCAATTAGAATTTGGATAAAGTAAAATTAGAATTGAGTTTGTAAACTGACAAGATGGGAATTTTTACAAAGCAGAAGAGCTCTGACTTGACTGTGTTTTATTTGTTTCTTTATTAAGGAGGAGAGGGGGCGCATTATTTGCGTACAGCGTTGCTGCTGCTGCTGTGCATAGAACATCTTCCTCACTCTCTCCGCTTGTTTTTTCTCTCGCTCTCTGGCACTGTAGCTTTTTTCATCCCTGCTCCTAACCATAATCCACCCCCTTCTCCTCCTCCTCTTCCACCTCCTATATTTTCTCTACTTCTCTCAGCTCTGCGAAGAAGAAGAAAAAAAGCGAGGAAACCAAGGATTGATGTTGAATTTTTCTCCATCTCTCTCTCTTTCTCCATATCCATCTCGCCTTTTTGCGCACAGAAACGCGTCGCGCCACGCCAGCTCTTCCAAAAGAGAAAAAACCCGCTTTTCTATCATGTTTGATCATTTTTATGAGATGACAGTTAGTGTCCGTGTGTGTCTGCTCTCGCTGTTCTCCAACTGGCCGTAACATAAACGTCTGGGATCTTCTTAATGCAAGAGGAAGAGGCTCCGGGGCACCGGTAAAGCTTCGTTTGTCTCTCCGTGTTTTCCTCCAGTCGCGAGCGGCTGCATGACCGGTGATGCTCGGCCTCTTCCCCTGGATGCGCCCCTTTATGCGCCCCTTTATCCATTGCCGTTGCCCCGGTCCCCTAACAGCAGCTTTCCGCTGTTGCCGGAGAGAGGTCTAGGGACCACATATGGAAACTGGGGATCGTAATTTCAGAAAAAAGAACAACAGCTGTTAGTTTCCCCCCACCACCTCCTCCACTGCACATCTTTTCCTTTTTCTTCATCTATCTTTTTTTCCAGAGAGGGGCATCTCTTCCTTCTTTTTTATGCTCCATCACAGGAATTGGTTCAATGGCAGTCTTATAACCAGCTGATATTTTGCATTATGTAGATTTTGCTACTTTGAATTTCTTTTAAGCATCTAGTACTAATTTTTGTCATATATCACTGGCCCTGCCTGTCTGTTTTGCCTGCCTTCCGTCAACTTCTCTACCTTATATATATATATGTTGATTTTCCAAATCATGCTTGAGATAAATCTATATAGTTTGCCTATCCTTTACTAGATTAAATTAGTCCCATCGCATCACTAAATTGTGAAAATCTCCATCGGTAATCACTGCTTTAGCTTCTTACTGTGGGAGGGGGTTACTTTAAAGAAAAGCAGGCCACCTACTGTATTTGTTTTAACCACACTCCATAATCACTCTTCCTTAATCCCTTAAAACCATCCTTTCCAAATTAACCTGTGTGCATGGGTGCTCATACGAGTACAGGTGTGTGTGCATAAAAGTTTGAATCTGTAAGAAAGTCTGCAGATGCCGTTGTAGGTTGAATGCAACTGACTTCTTGTGCCACATTATTCCATGCATTGACATTAAAGCTGTGAGGACTGCAATGTCTGATGCCTTTAGTCGGCTCAGTAAGCCAAAATTAAGTGTGAGACAGCCAAACTCCTCCATCTTCTCCCTATCTTGGCCCTTTTTTAGAGTTTGACATTTAGAGGCCTTCAAACTCAACAAAGTAGGCCTAGATCCCAGACCAGGTCTCTTGTGGAATCTATTGGAAACTTGTGTTTTTAGGTCAGCCTTTTTTATTTCCAGAGTAGGGCAACTTACTGCCATCTGAAGTTCAGAATTTAGAGAACTTTACCTCTAATGCTGTTGCTGTAATTGCTTCAAGGTCTTTGACCTCTTTTGTTGGGTCAAACACCCATAAACCCATTAACCGTCTTCCATATTTTTTTCGTCTTATTGCTGGTCCCCCCCCAAAACCAACCATACGATTTCCCCCGAGCTCCCCGAATTCCCCCGCCCCCTCAGCAACCCCCCGCTACCGTCGTCCACCTGACGCAGCCCACCCCCCGCTTTCCGAGCTGGCGTGGCGACGCAAACTCACAAATATTTACTTCCTGTACATCAAAAGGAAAGGGGGGCCCCCTTTCGTGGAATGTGGCAACATGGGTGTGTTTGACCGCGGAGTTCAGATGCTGCTGACCACAGTGGGGGCCTTTGCTGCCTTCAGCCTCATGACTATTGCTGTGGGGACAGACTACTGGCTGTACTCCCGTGGCGTCTGCAAGATAAAGAGCACCAATGAGAATGAGACAAGCAAGAAGAACGAGGAGGTAATGACGCACTCAGGCCTCTGGAGGACCTGCTGCCTAGAAGGTGAGCCAATAATTTAGAGGTAGCCACATATACATATATATACATATATATATGCACAGACCCACCAACAATGCTACCGTCAGGCACATGAGCAGATCCTTACCTTACCTTCATGCCCACACTCAGATTCACACTGTCCAAAATTTTTCACTAACATGCCCACACAAAAATTCACAAACCCACACTATATGGAATGTGCGCTGCATTAATTTTCATGAGAAAAAAATGCTCTCTCTCTGTCATTTGAAACCATGCTTCAGGTTTATACCTTTCGTTTTAAGTCCACCCTAAACTTAATTATTTACTTTTACAGTCAGATGTATGTTACACTCCACACCACTCCACCACTTTGTTTCTAAATCCATAACATTTCAAGTCCTTGGATGATCAGAAAGATAATGTAATTTTCTTTTAGTAGGCAGATGGACACCTGGTTTAAGTCTTGCAGAGGTTTTTGATTATCTTTTTAATGTTGTGTTCACACAGCTTACAAAGGCAGCATGGTTGAACTGGTTGCTCTGCAATGCCAGGACAAATTTGCTCTTCAACTGATTTTAATTAGTCACAGGGATAATATATTAAATTTGGTTCGGGCAAAAAAGGGTTCAGGTTGCATCACTTAGATAAAAGACAAAGATTAAAAGGGAAAAGAAATGTGTGTCTGGGTGGTGGGGGCAAGGGAAAAAACAGCAAATGTAAAAACAAAAGTCACAAAGTGCACAGTAGGACTTTTTTTTTTAGCCTTGTTGCTTTGCAACAAAAACAGTCCTAGGTTTGGATATTTCTGCTTTGAGATTGAATGTCTTTCTTTTTCATGTGTTCTTTGACATGCTACTTGTTGGGTTTCTATATTGCCAAGTGGGCCTATGTGTGACCCCATAAAAATAGGTGTACAGTATGCCAATAGCTGAAAGATTGGAGTTAAACACAACTTAAAGAGGAAGATTTGTTAGCACCAACTCAAAATCCATATCCAATATGTTATATATCAGAGTTATCAGAAACAAAATTCTACGATTTTAAGTATTTGGGCTCACAAATGTGCTGAACGGTGCTGCTCAACAGCTTTTAGCACCAAAGCTAGAGATTGGTCAGTGGAATAGCACAGAATTGGTACTTAATTGTATACTGAAACAACAGTTAATGATAGGAACTGTGTGGGTAAAAAGGCCAAATAGGCTTTTAAATAAAACCCCAGATTCTAATTCCATCAATCTGTAAAAGTGGATGAAAATCATCGGTTTGATGAAGTTTAAAGCATTGTTGCCTGTCCAAGTATTTTTCTCTAAAGGTATCAACCCACTCTAACAAAGGCAGGATACACCTGTTACCATGTGACATACTTGATGAAGACAGAAAATTGATTATGTTGTGGCATAATTTTGGCTCATTGTTTAGACATATGCTCAGATAAGATAAGGAAAAAAGAGAGCTCAAAGCATAAGGGTTTCGTTGTGAGATTGTTTGTGATTATACAACAGGGAAACTGTGGATCGTCTACTTAAGTGTGAAACAGATTTGACACACTGCATAGACTCACTCAAACACACGAAGGGAGACACATGACACAAACACACACATTTATAAACCAGTCCTGTTCTATTATCAGACTGAATCAGCACATACCAGGCTGCACATTCACCTGATTCACGAGACAAAGCCACGGGCTGATGACATAGATTTGTGGCATTAGTGGGGTTTCTTCAGTGATTCATTTCATCCACTCTACGTCTGTTTGAGATTGCCACAGGAATAGCTTTTGTCATGGTTCATAAAAGACGGTACTGTCTGTAATTTGTCTAACCTTTCCCTTTCTGCTCTACTTGTTATTTGCAAACTTATTTGTACACAGGTTTGCCCATGTTTAGACATCATGTGGACATTTTAAGGAGACATCCCTCTGGTTTATTGGTACACCTAAAACTGTCTTTCACTCTGTTTTTCATTTTTAACTTGGATAAACACTTATATCAAGCTTTTCCCCTTCAGTTCTTTACCAGAAATTACTATTCTTTGGTTTTAAGGTATGGCATCCTCTTGGCTGCTCCCATATTATGGCTCGCCAAAGCAAGTTATTACAACTTGCTCACTGACTTGGCAAAGTTTTTACATTGTATGCCCTTCCTGACCCAGGTCCTCTGTATAAGATTGAAAGACTCAAACCACTTAACCACTTGCACAGATTATATTACAAAAGTATAAATGTAAAATGTGAAATGACCAACACTTGATCATGATGTCACTCTGTTAGAATCTCGTCTGGGTGTAAGTAATCTCTTTATCTCAGTTTCAACTCTCTGTCAGACTTTTCCAATAATATGAACAGGTAATTGAAGTTCAGCAATCCTGCTTTTAAGCAATACTTAACGTCTAGAGCATATTGATGTATAGAACCTGTTACAGAAAGGAGGCGCCTTCATTTTTCCAAAACCCAATACTCATACCTTAATATGTACCTCACATGTGACTTCATAGGCTAAGTTAAAGAGGAAATAAACATTTCCAAATATTTGACAACTAATTTAATTGATAAACAGTACAAAAAGGGTTCAGTCTAGGCAATTGGACGTGAAGTTTTCTAGAAGACATTTTGCCTCTCATCCAAGAGGCTTCTTCAGTTCTAACTAGTGTTGGGGAGCACTGAGGTTTATATACTGTAGGTCTAACTAAGAATTTTGTCTCCCCCAAATTCTTTGTTTTCTAGAAAACTTCACGTCCAACTACCTAAATTGAACTTTTTCAAGGTTGACCATGACCTGGATTAATGAGAATCTTCAGATATAGACAAAAACAAAAACATAGCATGTTGTTCTGCTATATATCGTAAAAGAAAAATTATCCCAGAGAATCAAGCTTGTTTTTTTCCTAGTTAAACAAATGCCTTAAGGTTACACCTGTAATATCTATAAAATGGTATGTTTTTGATACCATTGCTTTATATCTTTAATTAATTTAATATTGCTTGGTTAGTATATTAATTATTACTTAGATATAAATATGATGTTTCCTGTCTACCTCCTGTTAGTCATAATATCAAAGTTTACACAACGCTTTGAAGACTTAACCCATTTTTTCCATCCCAAAATGACTTCTCTTTCTAGGTTATTTGCAACTTAATTTTCAGCATCTAAAGTTACAGCCACATTGTAACATTTATTGTGAATGGACAAAAATAATAAGAGTAAAAATAATCATGTGAGAATGCTTGAGATTTTTTCAAAAATAGACTGTATGATGATTTATTGTCTTGCTGAGATCTAGGTTCCAGTACCACAAACTTAACGACAACTTTTGTGTTTTTAGCATTTCAAATGGTCTAAAATTAGGAAAAACATACCTGAACCTCAGAGCTAAAGCAAAAGTTCCCATACTTTTTTAGCTTCTGACCTACAAAATGTTACCAAAGTTTTCTCATGACCCAAACTATTGGTTAAAGATACAATCTATTTTTCAAAATCAATTAAATTTAATTTCCCTTTGGGATCAATAAAGAATTTTTGAATTACATTATATTTAATTACCACCGATGTAATAGTATTGCTAACTCCATCAACATCCAAATTAGTTGATTTTTTCCACTATTAACTGATGCTTTCATATCTTTAAGCACTTTAACATCAAAATGTAATGTTTAGTTAAATTTTTGTAATGAATCTTAAAGGTAAAGTGGAGGATGTTCTTTTTCCAGGAGGATCATCAAAATAAGTGGTCCTCCTAATTGTCAATTATTCTGGTGATATGTTTACGTAAGGCCGTCCTACGTGCTCATCGCCATTTTCACTTACCAGTGGTGAGTCTGACATAGTGGAAAAATTGCAAATCTTGTTTTGGAAAGTAAGCTTGTATGAGTGATGCAAACAGCAACTTTTAAACAGAGCGTGCGATCAGAAATGGGCTCATGCACGCTCTCGCACGCATTTATTAGGCATCCCCTCAGACGCATTTATTAGGCGGGTACAGTGTTTAAATGTGCTTTTTTTTTTACTTGAGAGGGCGGGTCTTTTCAATAATTCGTGAAAATCCTCCACTATACCTTTAAGACCCAATAGTGGTTGATCAAGGATCCCACCTTTTGGAATCAGTGCTCTAAAGTATTTAGTATAAAATCATAGAGGAAATTGCAGAACTGTCAAAACATCATCACTACATTCGTTAAGAGAACACAGCCGCAAAAACTCCCTCCAAGTGAAAAGCTTATATTCTTTGGAAAGTGGCTTTACTCTCTACACTCTCAGCACACACAGTGTCCTTGGCACTAGAGATTGAAAATGATTAAGAGTAGAGATTCTGAAAGATTTCCAGCTCGGACGCCTTACATCGCCATCAGAGCTACAGTTGCTACACAAACTGTGTGAGGAGAGAGAAATGAAAGGGAGAAGGGGACAATTGGGAGGTGCTGAGAAAGACAGGAAAAAAGGAGAGAAAAACGAAGCAGCTCTGGTTTGCTGTCACACGCCCTCAGGCATCTTATGCTATCTTTAACACGCAGGCCCACGTTCTATCTAACCTATCTTGCTGCAGCTTTCAACATAATACATCTTAGGACTGCTGCAATTTCTGTTTAATGTAGGGGACACGATGTACATAATGTGCACATACTTGTGAGGTACTGTTTTTTTTTTTCTTCCATTACTCCTTGTTAGCATTAAAAAATGAAAATATGCCCATTGAGACAACAATAGCCTAATAATTTAAATGCTCTGTTTTGACTATGAATGTAAAAATAAAATCCTGTCATGTTTTTGAAATTATAACCCATTACAGCCCTGACAATAATTTTTGTTAGACCCAGCATGCATGGTAATTTTCATGTACTTACTGCTGACAGTCTCTTTATCTAAAGCCACAGCTAGTGATATCCCAGGATTGCGTGATAACTAATTGCAGGGAATCAGATTACAAAAATAATCCACTGGTAAAAAAAAATAAAGATGCAGACCGCTGGTTTATCTAAAGCTCCAGTAAGTGCTTCAGTGGCTGGGGAGCACAAATGATGTGTT